CCTTAGGTTGGGTCTCTCAATAAAGGTCTATACGTGTCATTGTCATTTAAATGAACTAGCATTTTTTCTATATAACTTGACTTACCCATTACTCCCACTGTTCCACCTTTTTCGGCTTTCGTTATGATTAAATTATTATTACGCAGATATCTAGAAATCTTTCTAATATAACAATCTTTCTTAAGTGGTATTATAGGGTCAAAATGAGGAATCACCTCCAGTTTAATACTATTCCTTACCTCTTCAGGTAATCTATCAGATGAGCTAATTAATTTAACAAGTATTTCCAGAGAATGGTTTACCTCATTTGGAAGAGCTAAATTCAGTGCACTTTCCAATAAAAGTACTACACTATCCTCCAGAGTTGTACTAGATAAATTGATTACCTTATCATTCCTCACTTTGCTACCATCATGGTTAGTACGACTTTCCTTAGGTGCAAAGTTTATCGACCTAATTCTAATTTCTAAATTCTGGAGCTTCCATTATGTATCCGAAGCGTCATTCTGTCAGTCGCCTCTCCCAACCCGTCAGCCATGTCTTGTAACTTAAGGAAATTCATAACCTTCAATATTTCAGAGAGGGATTGCCTAAGCCTGCTTTTGTTTCTAATTACTTCGTGTAGTCTTAATGCTTTCCTTGGGCCCAGTTTTAATCAAACCACACGACACCTGATCAAGTTCCTTATTGGTGGACGTCGGTAGATTAAAACGTCTACCGAGTAAACAATACAGGAGCAACATTATGACAAATACAAATTAAAAAATCTGATTCTATTAATTTACCGGAATATAGTTTTCTTGATTATAGTGTAGCGAGAAGACAAATGACAAGAAGTCGAACCGTAAGTACATTGTAGATACGAAGTGAAACTAGGTTTCGATCAATCTCCTGAGATAATATTGTTGGGGGAGGAAGTCTTATGGACTGCGTCAACCTGAACATCGTATAAAAGCTAAACGGCTGCAGTACAACGCGATTCAGCCGTCCTCATCTGGTGAGATCGACCTATGAATCTCTTCTTCATGCACTTTGATACAAAATGAAAGCCCCACTAACAATTTTATCTCAAAGATTCATCGAAATCCAGTTTCTCTTCGTATCTACAATGTACATACGGTTCGACTTTTTGATACTCGTAGCCGCGATCTAAGAAGAACCAAATTGCATAGCACCAGAATGGCAAATTAAAATGACTTGTCATCGGCTACATGTTAAAAATGACCATAAATAGAATGGCAGAAGACTCTGGAAAGGGTAAG